CAGGCTGAAACAAACGGGGCCTGTAAGCCCTAAGTTTTAGGCTTTTAGGCTGAATGTCCGGGACGGGCCCTGCAGGGCCCGTGTGGCTACGCAGTATGCCACACTCTGGCTCCTCCCTCTTCTTTCTCCCATCTTTTTTCTTCTCCTCCCCTTCTGCCTCCCAGCGCTTCCACATGGTGGTTTGCACCCAATGTGGAAGTGCTGCTACTGTCTTGTGCATTGGAGTGGTGACCAGTGCGGTGAGGGGGAGTGTAGGGCTGAGTAGTCGACAGCGCTGGGCGCCATATCCATAGCTGTGGTGTGAGAGACAAGAAGACATTCTGAGAGATGAGCTAGCACTGTGAGGTGACAGTGAGAGCAAGGAGAGAGAAGAGAGAGAGACTTACCTGCATGCTGAGTTGAGCGGCCATAGCCGCTGGTGACGAAGTTTGTGTTGATTTCAGCCTCTTTTGGACGTCGTGTGTCTCACGTGAGTGCAGAGTGATGTGGAACTCGTGTCTGAGTGTACCATGCATGGCGGTCTCATTGCAAACGTAAAGATAGTCAAGAAAGGGATATAACAGATGGATCTATTCTACTTCACGTAGGTATGCCTATTGTTATGCATGATTATCTTACAGGTGGATTTACAGCTAATACTACTCTAGCTCATTATTGTCGAGATAATGGTTTATTGCTTCATATTCACCGTGCTATGCATGCTGTACTTGATCGTATAGAGTTAAAACTGTTTCATTGTTGGAATGGCTCATCTAAAGTGTGCTTCATTGTCTGCAATAGAGGTAAAGCTGCCTCAATTTTGGGATCTACTCATCTAGGTGGAACAGGAGATGTTGTGGCAAAAATCTACAACGCACACCAACACTATATCCTTCTCTTCCTTATGATCCCCATTACTGTAACCCCCCTCATTCTCCCTCTCACCACCGCTAGGCGCAACAGACTAACAGGGTTAAGCAGGCTCCACATTATGATTGGAACACGCCCGTATGACCCAGGGTGCTGGTTTACAACGTGACTCTGCTATGTGGCGGCTGCAGCCCGTAGGAACAGCTTGAGCTGCAATTACGGGGGCATTGATCACAACTCTGGACTCCTTGTGTCAAGTAAAAGCTCCACAGATCTATGTGGTTGAGGGAAATGCTCACACATCTGTCTGCACTTGCACTTGCCCTCTCTTGGATGGAAAGTGTCCAGGTAATTGTGGACTAGAAGCTAAAAGGGAATGGTAATTGAGGAGAGGGAAACAAATTCTTTTAATATACGTACTAGAAAAATTAGCAATTGCGTTGTGTTCCAACAATGGTTTTACTTTGCATAATCCTGTACATAGGTTGTGAAGATCACTGAAGTCACTAAACAACATCTCTTCTTTTTCTGTGTTCTCTTTGTTAAATTCATGAGATCAAGCAGGATTATGCAGTTGAAGATGCTGGACAGATGGCTGGAGCCCTGTCTGTGCACCAATACTGTGGGCCTAATGTCCGCATCATTACTGAATTGTTGAATCCAGAGAATCTTCAAAGTGACATCTGGGAGGGCTTACCTGGGAACATAGAGACTATATGTCCACAGCAGCTACGGTTTCAGCTGCTTGCTCGCAGGTAAGAGCCATGCTTTTCGATTATCCAAGATGAAAACAGGTCTCCATCTGTTGAGAGAAGCAGCACTCTATATCAAACTCCACCAATAAGAAATACTACGCAGCAGCATCGCAGCTGCATTAAAGCACTTGAGTATGAATGCTTAATTTGCGGACAGGTAAAGAATGCTATCCTGGGAGAGTAACCAATGTTGTTCGGGGGGTTCTTCGGCCTTGCATGTCATTGTATAATTTTGCCTTGTTGGTGGAATAGGAACTGGGCTCGCAAGTACTCAATCGAATAGCCTGGTGGGGTTTCATAAGGGCAATCTCGTCTCAGGTGGAGGGCCAAGTCTCCCTGAGTCAGGACTCAGAAGAGCCCAAAAGCAATTGATTTTCTCATGTCAAAGACTGAAATAAAGGTCAAATCAACATCTGGAAGGAAAAATTATGAAGAATTTTGACGGAGAAGAGTAAGAAGTGGATGTATGGGAATGCCCCAAGAAAATATCTGCTCACTTTGAATGAATTATATGAGGAACATGTGGTTCTTTTCAATTTCACGAGCAAAAACAGAGACCTGCCTCGGAATGAAAAATGGACACACTGAGGAGCTTTTGAAGAAATCAAGGGAGTGAAACAGAAGTAGCACACCACAAAACATGAAAGTTCACAGTCATGGTCGTATAGATCCTGACTACACTCAGTACCTCCTCTTGCAATCCATAGCTACTATCCAACCCTAGAAACCACCCAGGGCACCACAAGCTGAAGCTTCCATATGTATACAACTGACACTGTGCAATCATTTCTCGGAGCAGTTCGACAACTTATCGGAAGGAATCCACAATTGTGTGGGAAGGTGGCTCAAAGCCTCAAAGGAGAGTATCCCAATAATCCTCTCAGTGATTGGTTGCCTGCAAACCGTGATTTCATGGCCCCCAAAGGGTGGCTTGTCTGGAGGTTTGTACGCTAAACCCAAAGTTTCCATAAATTTGGATAGGCGGCAAGAATGGCCAGAGAATCACAATCTACCTCTCTACAGAGGATCCGTAGTACCGGCAATGTAATTTAATTGAATGAATAATTTCATTTAATTAATTGAATTGGGGAAGGGATCTAAGAAAGTGTCTGATAATAAGGCTATACTCAACATCGCCCTCTCTGCGTCAAAAGTGGAAACAGGGGGCATCTGGGAATGAACTGCCCTCTCGGCAAGGAAGGGGGGAATTCAGTCCAAAGCAATCACTGCTAGTTGAATGTGAAAGCAAGCCAGGGGGCAGGCTCATAGATGAAGCTCAATATAGTGGCGGGGTGTTCAATGACAATTTGAAGAATACAAGGTAGGTCCAGGTCCTGCAGGGTACACCCGATCTTGAACCACATTTCCACCATGGCTAGGATCAGACGTCCGGACTGGATGGTCTGAATCCAGACTTGCAAGGTCTGGGTCAAAGCCAAATCCACAAAAACGGAAAAAAAGTGACAGCCGGGACCCTTCCCAGCATCGAGACTGACCCCCCAAATTTGTTTTGGTGAGTCTTAAGGCCCTTTTTTTTTTTGGGGGGGGGGGGGGGGGGGGTGATCCCCCTAACACGGCTCAGACGGCCCATGCAGGCTATCTGAAGGGTCCTCGCTGCCATGTAGCGCAGACCCTCCACCGAAATCAAGGCAGGCAGTGAATGTGAAGTAGAGCACGAGCTGGCCGAATATATACTCAAGATTCAAATTCTGGTCTGTGTTTCAGCAGTTTTGGGTTGCTCACGTAGCTAGGCCCTGCACGTGAGTCTCAGGGCTTGGCTGCACTACTCACCAAATGTGCAAAACTAGAATGAATGTTCTGCAGAACATGGAATAATATGCCGCCATATGTTCTGTCTCTTGTGCATGTGGTGAGTAGATGCCCTTAGGGCCACTGCACATATTCCTAAGAAAAGAAAAACGAGAAAAAAAAAACGAAAAAAAAACAAACAAGCAAAAAGAAAAACAAGAAAAAAAAAACGAGAAATTTCTCTCATTTTTCTTTTCTTAGGAATACGTGCAGTGGCCCTAAGGGCCTCTGCTCACGACATGCACAAAAGACAGAACATATGGCGGCGTATTATTCCGTGTTCTGCAGAAGATTCATTCTAGTTTTGCACATTTGGTGAGTAGTGCAGCCAAGCCCTAAGAATTACGACAGGGCCTAGCTACGTGAGCAACCCATAACTGTTGAAACACGGACCTGAATTCGAATCTTGAGTATATTTTCGACCAGCTCGTGCTCACTTCATATTCACTGCCTGCCTTGATTTTGGTGGGGGGGTCTGCGCCACATGGCTGCGAGGACCCTTCAGATAGTCTACATGGTCAGTCTGAGCCGTGTTAGGGGGATTCCCTCACCCCCCCGAAAAACAAAAAGGACCCTTCACACACACACACACACAGTCACACACACACACACACACACACACACACACACACACACACACANAGAAAGGGAGAGGGAGGGAGGGCAAGGCAGTGGAGGAAGTGGAGGTTGCACAGGACGATGACCAGGAAGCCGCTTGTTGTTTTTAAACCGCCAGTACCTTTGAGCTGCCCCTGCCGAACCTGTCCGCGGCCAGTGCCCGATGCTGTGGGAGGGCAGCCCGAAAAAGGAGTTGCTGCTGTGTGGGAAAAAAAAAAAAAAAAAAAAAAAAAGACGAGGTGAGGAATGGCCGTAGTCATGCTGTTGGGATCCGAGAAAAGGGGCGCACTCCAATGTGCAGAGAAAGATAAATCAAAAGAACGAGACATCCAAAAAAAAAAAAAAAAGAACAAAACAAGAACGACAGGCTGAGGGCCTCGCTACTGTGCTCACCCACGGTGCAAAATGAGAATCAATATTCCGCTTGAACATGGAAAGATACACCGAGGTTGATAGGGCTCAGAGGGGAAAAACAAAAAACGAAACAATAAGGGTGGGCTGGGGCTGCTGGGCGCTGCTCCTCTGCACACCAGATATGCACAATGAGAATGAATCTTCTGCTGGAACATGGAATGATCGTTGCAGTGATGATCTGCTGTCAGCCACGATTGTTCCGCTGTCAGCGCCGATTGTTCTGCTGTCAGGGGATATTGTATGATACGGCCTGCAGACATAGGGTCTCGTTAGACACTCCTAAAAGAATCCTAAAATTTTTAGGACGAGTCCTAAAGGATTTTTAGGATTTCGTGCGGCGTCGTTACTTGCAATCCTAAAAATCATCTTTTAGGATTCGTCCTAAAAGGTCTCCCGCGGCCGGTTTTCATATGCGTATACGCAGCCACGTCGCCAATGTCTGTCCATTCCTGCCAATGTCCGTCCAATCCCCGCCAACGGCTACCGTTCGTGGCCATTGCCCGTGTCGACCCGCAGAAAACCTCCGATGTCCTACCACTGACCCGACGGACCGCTTCTGCACCAGCAACTCCGTGTCGATGGTGCCATGCGCGCGACGCAATGAGTCCGTGAAACGCGGGAATCCTAAATTTTTCAGTAGGTCGGGGGCTACTGGAAAATTTAGGACGATTTTGCCTGGGGAATCCTAAACCCTTTAGGACTCTTCCTAACGCCGTTTTCACATTTTCGATCTCAAAATTGGATTTAGGATTGTGTGCAACCAAGACGCAATCCTAAAAACAGGCACTTTTAGGAGTGTCTAACGAGACCCATAGTCAAATTTGAAGAAGCGTATCTGGACTTGTCTCTGTCCAGATACGGGAGCTACAATTCTCAATTCTCGTTTTTCCGTTTTAGCAGTGTGCCCAAAGAAATAGCAAAGTCTTTCTTTTTTTTTCTTTCTTTTTTTTGGCGCACGGGCTTTCCAACGCGCTAGAACCTGCCATTTTTTTCTGGGTGCAATTTTCAAAATTAGATAATAGTGTACTGTCTAGCTTGTGCTTTTCCAGCTCGAAGCTGGGCCGAGCCTGTGAAACACGCTTCGGCATGCTCGGAGGTGGGTTTTTGAGCCGGGAAAGGTACTGGTGGCTTAAGAGAAGGAGAAGATAATGTGAAGAGTCTGAGGACTGTTAAACCTTTTTTTTTTTTTTTTTTTTTTTAAACACACCCCCACCAGTTTTGGTGCTGCTGGTAAGAGCAGACACCAGTAACACCTGGGAGTGGGGAGCGTCACCTGCTGGAAAACGGGTCCATCGTCCCTTGAAAGAAACATGTCTTGAGAAGGTGAGAACAGTGACTTGTGAGATCTGCCAGCATTGATTACCCTGCAACACAGGGGATTGACTGAGCAGACCCTATGAGAATAGTGGCTATGGAGTCTGCCAGCATTGATTGCCACCCGTATACAGAACAAATTGAGATATGGGGTCCATTACCTGGCTTCAACGGAAAGGAGCAGGAATATTAACGAGAAAAACTACTGAGATAACCAACAAAACCAGGAAGCATGCCGAATACCAAAATACCCCACTGCTACTCAGCAGACCAAAACGCTGATTTGAAAACCAAGACTCTACCAGGCCCCATACACCCAACATGCATGCTAGGTTAACTTACATCATAGCAGCACAACCCACCCCAGCTCCCGGCAGCTTGTGCCAGCAGCAGCCCACGGTTAGCCACTGGAATGGCCCCCCCAAGCAATTCTGAATCCCAGATCTCTCTAGCAGGCCTCATTCTCCCGTCAACAACAGGTTACAGGGCAACGCTCCAGCACCGGCCAGCATCGTTCTGGCATCTCCCATCCACGAACCTCTGAATGTAACAGCCTCAGCACGACGTTGAATGAACTACTGAAGACCACCGGAGTCCCCTGACGTCCCCGTCCCCGCGATAACCGCAAAAAACAGACACTCCCCCATGTGCCTTAGCAATGTTATTAATTAGGGGTAACTTCAGTAGAGTCACAAAAACGAGTTGTAATTGCACTATGGGCCAAGATACTGTTTGCAATTGCACTTCTGGCACTCTACCTGGCCAGAAAGCTAGGTTGTATATATACTACGGTTTACCGGGCAGTTCTGTTTGTGACGATATATATATATATATCATGATATATA